TTAACAAGATGAAGCAGGAGCGGCAGCGGCTGCTGGGTTTGATCCGCTCTCTGGAGAGTGACATCGAGGACTTGAAGAGACAGATCGCTGGACATGAGAAGACAAACCAGGACAAGGTGGCTGAGATCAGGGCTTCACCACTTTTCACAGCACCGACAACCACATTGAATAAGATTTGAAAAAGTTTTGACTTGACTTTGACCCTGTACCTCTTCTTTTTTGACATTTTTTCTTTGAAAGTAATTTTTTTGAAGTTGGTAGGTTTGGTCCTATGTTTCACATACACATTACTTGATTTTCTGAAATATTTAATGAGTGGGTCAATTAACTTTCTAACCTATACAGACCTATATCTTCTTGCTGGACTCTAAATTTACCATTCATACCTTGAATGTGAATGTACAGGTTTAATTTAACCTCCACCAACGCCCAATTTACCCCTTATGACATCACATTTAATCTCTCTGGATCAGGATTTAATTTTTGGATCTGCATTAAATTTCACACACTCATAAATAACAGTCCCCAAAATATGCCAGATATTTTTCATAAACAACAATAAATTATTATCTGGGAAATCAATGAAAATCACTCCAATATTTAATAAACTCTTTCCTGATCCATGCTCCATGATCTCACCAGGTTTCAAGGTAATCTGTCATTTCTGTGTAAACTTGCTTGAAAACAAACAAACAAGCCAGTTTGGTTCTGTAGTTCTTAAAGCAGGAAACCTTTCACCTTCAAACTGAAGAGGATTCTTCTTCTCAAAATATAAAACAAAGAAAATTAGAAACCTGTACATTTAGAACTTCAACATTCATGGTATATAAAATATCAGGTCTTGTTTAAACTCTCCTGAGGACGATGTGTTTCCAGCCACTGACGTTTGTGATCGAACAAAACAAGCAAACTGAGATAAAAAAATAGCTGCTTCCACTGAAATCCCTCCACGCGTTCATGTTCACGCAGGATAAGACGATCTCCGGCTTGAAGAAGAAGAACCAGGAACTGGAGAAGTTGAGGTTTGTTCTCGATTTCCAGTTGAGCGAGTTGAAGAAGCAGACCGAGCCTCAACAAGACGAGATCAATGAGAAGAAGGAGAGGATCCGTCAGGTGAGTGTTCTCGTGTGTGTGTGTGTGAGTGAGTGTGTGTGTCTGAAAGGACGCCGAGCCATCTGGAGATGGACCAAGTTTAATCAAAAAAAGAAATAAAGCAGCTGTGACTCTGATAAGTTCAAGCTGTAGCAGCAGATACATGTTCCATATGAAATACCTCTGCAGTGTTGACAGTGATGTGGTGTTTCTCCTCTCTCACAGCTGCAGGAGGAGCTGGTGCAAACTGACAGCAGCAACACTCAGCTGAAACTCACCGTCTCTGACCTGAGGCTCAAACTGAGGACCAGAGACAAGGAGATGCACAAGGAGATGCAGAACGTTAGGACACACACTCACAGACCTAACACTGCAGCAACCTTTCAGCTTTATTACTTGTTTTTAATCGACCTGGAAGTGATTGATGGGGCAGTGATTGTCTCCTTTCCGAAAAGCAGATGTGAGGCAGATGTTCATGTTGAAACTCTGATGGTTGTTGGATTGAAATGTTTACTCTATAACACTGAATATAACTGTGCTGCTGTGTGCCACTGTCATTGGATCTTATGACTCCAAAATGACGTGTCATAAAACACACTCAGCTGCTGTGTTACTCTACTGTAAAAAATAGATTGATGATTTTTTTTTAGGATGTCACTCAGTAGAGCACAGACCTCTGCCATGGCCCGACAGACGCCCTAACTTCAATCAAGCTGCACCAAATTACACAACCATCTCATAGACATCAGTTACCTAAACATTTCATCAAGATCCATGAATTGTTCCCTGGGAAATAATTGAAAATGTTTCGTGGAAATCTATTGTTTTTGTGTAGTCTTGCTGACAAACAAACCAACCAACAAACAAATGGATGGGGTGAAAACAAAACCACCTTGGTGGAAGTATAAAAACAGCATTGATCATTGAAAGGATCATTTATTGCTGTAACACTTCTACCTGTTCAGACTTTTTTTAAAGAATGAAATTGACACTGTAACACATAGGGAAGATATTGTAATTAACAGACTCTTAATCACCAGCTTTGCTTTAATGTTGGAATTCATTTATGCACAAATCAAGGGCTGTGAATTTTGTTTTAATGCCTGTATGGAAAAATAGACTTTTTTGGAATAACAGTTTAACATCTGTTCTGTGTCCAGGTGAAAGATCTGGAGATACATCTGCAGCGGCTCAAGTCAGACCTCCATGACTGTGTTGGCTTCATCCAAGAGCCGAGGAAACTGAAGGAGAGCGTGCAGATGATCTACGCCCGCTACGTAACTGAAGGGGTGAGTACTTGGTGCAGCAGTTCTCGTCTAGGGCTGGGTGCAGGTATGGAACGAACAATTCTTCTCCTTCAGGGAATATGCAAACCCTGCGTTGTTTCCAAGGTGGAGAAAAGCGGGGTAGACCAAGATGTTCAGAGGGTGTTCTGTCGCCAGCTTGATCACCTGGAGAGGACCATTAACAGTCTCAAGATGAGGCTGACTAAATCTGCTGAGGAGAAAGAGAAAATCCTGAAGGTGAGCAATGATGGTAGAACTTCTTCGCTGCAAAGATGATCCCTCCAGTTGGTTATTAAGGTTTAAAAGATCTTCTCTCGATAGCATGGTAAGAGTAAAGGATCTAATCATGGTGTTGCAGTGTTTTGCTAGATGAATGATTTTCTAACAGTGATTGTCGTCCCTGCAGGGGAATATTTCTCTGATTACTGAAATCAACGAACTGCGTAAGGAGTTGAGTCTGATGAGGACTGAGGTTAAAAATTACAAAGCTCAGCTGACCTTGTACAAGCGGTCACATCCCAACCCGGGGGAAGGACCCAAACATGAGGACATCAGTTAACTGACTTTCCTCAACCACGTCCTCCAGCTGCAGGAAACTTCACTGATGAATACTGAGGATTTGAAAAGTCCTACAAGCTTATTCAAAAAAAAAATGTTTGTGCTGAAGATATTTGTATTACAATTATGGTTGAACATTTGATATAAATTGAACACGATTCAAAATCAGATAAAGTGTTGTCTTCTGTGTTTGTGGATTGTGCTGTGAATACATTACATTTATTCTGATTCACTTTCATTCCTGCTCAACAGATCATTTGTGCTGCAGCTAACATGGTCATGGATTTAGAGCTATGGTTCCATTTTTTTCCAGGGCAGTAACAATGTAAAGATATTTCAGTATATGAAACATATTTGATATTTACATTTTAACAATAATTCAAACTGATATGAAATCTCTTCATCTTCCTGACACTTATGTATTCCAAATTAAATTGTATGTAAGCTCCTTGATACTGGGATTTCCC